TCGGCGGCCGGCCGCTTGAACACAAACGGCCGCGGACAAACGCTCGATATCTCTCGCCTTTGCCCAAGCTCCCTTCAGTAGTTCCTGGGGGTCCGGCGCAGATCCAATGAGCACCTCCGAAACATTATGATCAAACTGACTTGTCTTCTTCGACCGTGGGCGCCACTGTTCTCCCGGGGCTCCTCATTCGTTTTCAGGGGGTAACGAAGACGAAGGAGGCGCCATCGTCAAGGTCGCTCGCCACAGGATCACACAATCTTGGCGCATCGCCCAAGCAGCGCCGAAGGAAGTCACCACTGGGGGGGAGGGGGCGCCACCCCGCCGAGGGGGCCCACCAGCCGACCCCTCATGACCACCAAAGCCCCCCCAGATCATCCCAAAACGCAAATAATCGGAACATGCATCCCATCGGGCCGCATTTACTCTGGCCCCACTTGCGAGGGGCAGCGAGAAGGGGGGGACTCGCTCAGGGGGGAAAACAGCAACCTCGGTACTAGTACACTTCCCAATGATCGGCGATAGACCCCCAGTGGCAGAACCGCACGTTCCTGGGCGGGGTGGACTATCGGGTCCCCGTCGGCGATGAGCGTGCGATTGGGGGTCGACCCTCTGACCCTTGGACGACGCCAACCCGCGGTTGATGCATCACCCTGAGCCTACCCCCCACAAACGTTGCCCATGAACTCTGGCCCTATTTGGGAGGCCTGGGACCTCGGCACCCCAGAGGCCCACCCCTCGGGCACCAAAGAGAGACGGCGACGACGACGCGCGATACAAGACAGGTCTCGGCACCAGAGGACGGGGCCGAGAGCACAAGGGCCAACGACGGAGAGACAGAGAGGCAAGGCGCTCCAACGGCGCGTTGGTAGCACAGCGTAGCCAACTAATCAGCAAGTCGTGAGTCGTTACAGGCCCCAGTGTGCACCACTCAACATGTGCACGGTGCCAACGAACGGCGGGCAACAATACGGGGCCACGACATGGAAGCAAAAACCACGACGGCCAGAACGACGAGGATAACGATGATGTGAACGACGACGACAACGACACCGAGGACGGCGACGGAGTCGAAATCTTGAGGTGCTGCTGCTGTCGTTGCCGCCGCTCCTGCCTCTGCTGCTGCTCCTGCTGCTCCTGCTTCTCCTCCCCCTCCCGATCTTGGCAGTGCGCACAAGGGAGTGCCGCGAGGGGGGTGGCTTTCGGAGAAGGCCGGGGGGCTCTTAGAGGGCAGGGCCCTTCTCAGAAGGCCTGGGAAGCTGCTCAGGAGGCTTGAAAACACGGAGTGAGCAGGCCGCCCCCCTCGCGCCACCCCGCGGGGCGCGCCATCAAAATTCCCTTCCTCCATGCCCTGGAGGACTCCCAAGTGGAGCCGGTCAGAGCAGGTGGGGTCATACGGGGGGCTGGCCAGAGCAGGACGGCGTCGCTGAGCGGCGGCGCTCCACGACGAAGATCGGAGGACCGCAACGCATCGCGGATGCCTCGCCAATGCACCGGCGACGCCGGTGCAAAGGAGAAAGAAACCCAACTCGCGCCGCATCACCGATGCATCGGCTACGTGCTGCGATTATTCGATCCTATCTCTTCCCATGAAACTACCCCTGATGCTACGGATCAAATCGGAACTTTCGCCCTGTCAGGCCGCATCGGATCGTCGGGATGTCGGAACCAAATCGAATCGGGCCGACCAGAATTGACACCGAACGGGCTCTATCGGATCGAAATGGACCCTGAAGAAAAAGAGTCTGCTCTGGTCCGTGTTGGGCGGCAGGGACCTCGGCCAGGCGCCTTGCCATCGCTGGGACGTCCCTTCCCCATTCATTGCTTCGTTTCTGGTGTTCTTTTTCGCGGGATGGTCCAACATGCTCTTCGATGGTTGTCGCCGAGGAGATATGCACACGTCCGAGCGATGCCCAGGGGACAGACCCCTTGGCGGCCACTGCCCGACAAATCCCAACAAAGAGGGCCCGGAGTGTCCAGCAGACCGCACCCCTCGACCCCTGGATCCTCAACCAAAGACGCTCGAGGAACTCTGGCCTTCGGTGCCGCCGCCATGCGGCCTTATGACGCGCAACGGACATATCCGTATGAACACCATCGCGGTCTGGATACAGAGCCGCGACCCCGTGGATACGGGGCGGCGTTGCGAGGAAGCCCCGCGCGGAACGCATCCACAGGATCGGGACGGCGAGGCCGTGGATGCGTTAACATTTCTTGCCCACGACCGTCCATGAAGATGAGTGGTGGCGCCAAACTCAAACCCCAAGAGGCCACCGAGAGGCTTCAAGCACACACACACACACACACACCAAAACCGCCTCCAAGAGGCTGCCGAGAGGCCTTCCAAGAGATCTCCAGTCATCCCAGAGGCCTCTGACCTACAACCTAGGCGCTCTGGCGGAATCGGCCGAAGGCCATGCATTTCGCCGCCCTCTCGATTTATCGAAGGGGTGCCTTGCGTGCGAAGGCATTTGTCTGGTTCCCAAGGCCCTCCAACCCACCCCGCTGGCCGCGCAGAGAGACCAGAGAGTCCCACCAGCCCTCTGGGCGCAGGTGGTCTAACGATGTCTTCCTTTCCTCTTCCAAAAAGCCCTTCTTTCCCTTCGGGGAAGGCTTATCGCTGTCCCCTATTGATCTACACACCTCCCCCACCCAGCTGGCGGCCAACCCGGAACCATGCCAACCACATGAGGGCCCCTCCCCCCCCATCCCGGTCAAAAAACAATACAAAACGCACTCTGCCTCCACATTTTGAGCATGCGCGGCCATCCCGATGCGGCCCCCCACACTATCCCTGTCAAGGAAAATGCACAACACTACACTTTGGGGCAAAATCTAGAGTCATGTTCGTGAAGCCCGCGAGCACTTTGTATTGTTTTTGTCAGGAACGGCGGGGTGTCAGCAAATTTCCTGCTGTACGCAGGGCTGCCATCCCTGACAAAAAACAATACAACATGCACCTCGCGGCTAAATCTGGATCATGCGCGGCCACCCCGAGATCACTGTCAAGTGGTTTTCCGACAGAGACGGCGGGGGTGGTGGCACGTGGCCTGCTGTGCGCAGGCCCACCTGACACAATGATGGGCAGTGGTTTTCAATAAGGATGGTAGTGGCCGAGATGTTTCCCGATGTGTGCTGTCACGTGCGTGCGCAGGCGCACCTGACGCTCTCTGCACGTGCCTCGAACGTGGCGCACCTGGCGCGGCTGGAGTGTGCGGCACACCTGACGCACTCGGAGCACGTGGCGCATCTGGCGCACCAGGCGTGCCTGGCACGCTCGGGCCCCAGGGGTGCCTGGCGCGCGTGGCGCCCCTGGCACGCGTGGCGCGCCTCGCCCGAGCGTCGCGCACCTGGGGACAGCGTTGGTGCCCAGTAGCTGCCAATCCAAAGACGACCGCTCAACATGCTCAGGCTCGGGTGTTGATTTTATGTTGGGAGGGCGGGTGGGAGTGAGCTAAGGCGGCTTGCGGGCGGGTGGGTAGCTTGACCCCTCCCCCTCCCCCCTTCCCTGGACCTTGACGGGGGGGCGCGAGGTGTCAGAGAGTCCTTTTTCGCCCAAGATGGCTCCAAGAGGGCCTCAGAGAGCCCAAGATAGCCTCCAAGATCGCTCGAGATAGCTCAACGAGGCTCAAGATAGCTAACAACATGCCTCAGGACCTCCCCGAGAAACCAACATACTTCAACAACCTAATGACATGTACTGATTTTTGCATTTTCGCCTGTTCGCTTCCGATGCGTTTTGAGACCTCAAGTTGGCCCTCAAGGGCCCAAGAGGCCCCCAAGACTGCCCCAAGATGGCTCTGGAGGGGGGAGGGAAATCGAGGACCCCCCTCCTTTGACAGATGGTCTCCAGGATGGCCCCAGGAGGCGCTCCATAGCTCCCAAGACGGCCCCACGAGAGCCCCAAGAGAGTCCCAAGAGTGCCCCATGAGGGCCCCAAGACGCCCCAAAAGCGCCCTTAGAAGACCAAGACCCCCCAAAGAGCCCTAAGGGGGCCCCAAGATGCCCCAAAAGAGCCCTAAGAGGACCCCAACATCCCTCAGAAGGCCTCCGATGGTCCAAGATAGTTCCCAAGATGGCTCAACACCCTGCTTCCTCTCCTCTCCTTATACGCTCGGTTTCCCTATGCGTGTCTCTTCTCTTCATTTCCCGACAGCTCTCATGGCCAAGGCTTCTGAATGGGCTGGTGGGGATTCCCATACAGTAAACAATGTACATTGCATCTCCTCAAGATGGCCACGATGGTCTCCAAGACGGCACAGATGGTCCAAGATGGCCTCCAAGACTGTCCCAAGACGCCTTCAAGACTGCCAAGATGGCCCTAAGCCGGCCCAAGATGCCTTCCAGATTGCCCAAGAAGCCCCCAAGACGCCTCAATAGGGATCCAAGAGATCTCCAGGAAACCAATATCATAGATTTTCCGTAGGCTTACCAATGACTGTAGCGTTCCAAGCTTTCCTATTCCAACGTTCCAAGACGGCCCCATCGCCTTCCAAGATCGCCCCAAAACGGCCCGAGAGGCACCAAAAAGGCTCCAAAGATGGCCCAACATGACCAAAAACAACCCAAGAGGCCCCCAAGACGACCCCACAGACCCTGAAGACGACCCTAAAACATCGAAAGAAAACACATCGAAGGAAGGACCCACGACCTACGCAGATGAGAGGCCCCCAGGCAGCCAAGAAGCCCAGGACAGGAGACCCCCAAGAGACCTCAAAAGGCCCCGAAGAGGCCCCGAGACCCCAAGCGACTCCCAAAACGCCCTTGGGAAACACAAGACGGCCCTCCTCCTCCTCCTTGTCCCTCTCATCTTTCTTTCCATTCCTCCCGCAAGTGTTCCCGCAATGGGTTCCACAACGCCTAGGGGGACACACGCAATTAGTTCACCTTTGGCCACATCTGCGTTTCCAGAAGGGGGGAGGTGGTTCGCCGTAAGGGTCCTCGATAATCGATATGATACGTTTCGTGCCCACGACCTTCCCGAAGCGGAGCGATGGCGCGTCCTAGCGCCGCGCCCGCGGCTATCGACTCCAGCGGCACGCGCCCGGCTGCGGGGCCACCTCCCGGCTCCGTCCGCTGTTTGAACACATGCGATCGTGTGCGGCAGCCGGCCGAAAGCGAGGACAACCGCGGCCGTCGTCCATTAGAAGCCTCTCGAGTGGAGTTTGAGCAACTGGAGTCGGAGGATCGCGACGCATCCCCAACGCATCGACGATGCATTGGCGATGTATAAGCGACGTCGGCGCTGCATCGGCGGCCCCGGCGTGGAGAAAACCGGACTCCACATCGAACTGTATCGCCGATCCATCGCAGACGCGGTGCGAATATCCGACCCGCTTTTGGAAGTCTAGACCAATGTCCTCAATTATCCGCCGCCGCCCCTGCAGCGGTTGCGTGGCCATCCGCGGCGACTGCGCGCCCGAAAACCGATCGACCAGACAGCGAAAACGAGCCAAGTCGAAACTGACGGGCTGCGGACGGCCCAAAAAAACGCAGCGACACAACAACCGACCGAACTGGACGAACGCAGCCGAGCCGACCAAACCGCGGACACGTTTGGGTTGGCGCATATGAGTCCTCTGCTTATTCCATCAGTTCCGCCCCTTGGTAAACACCCCGCCCAGACGCACAGAGCCCAACGTGCAGATCTCTGTTTTTTGGCCAGGCCCATCCGTTTTGCTTTTCCTCCCTCCAAAACATGCAGCCACTAATGGGAGCAAGCGGTTGAAACAGACCTAGCTCGGCGAAAGACCCAACCATATGCAGTTGTGAATACCGCAATTGTGAATACCATCTTCGCCCGCGCTCCCAATGTGGCCACGGCTTCCCGCCAGAGCCCGACATGCTCAGGGACACGTTCGTGGCCGTCTTCGCGGGCGCCGACGACGACGAGGACGGCGTCCCTCTGACCGAGGAGCAGAAGCAGGAGAGGGTTCTGAGAGCCATGCGAGCCCTGCCACTGGGGCCTGCGGTGGAGCTCCCTACGGAGCCATGATCCTCGTGACGGGTGTGCCGACATGGCCCGAGGCCGCCATGCGAACACCGCCACTGGGGCATTTGCTAGAGCTGCCTATGGGGCCACGATCCTCGTGAGGGGTGTGCCGACATGGCCCGAAGCCGCCATGCGAACCTTGCGACTGGCACCTTCGGTGGAGCTCCCTATGGGGCCACGATCCTCGTGAGCGGTGTGCCGAAGTGGCCCGAGGCCGCCATGCGAACCCTGCCACTAGGGCCTGCGGTGGAGTTCCCTATGGGGCCACGATCCTCTTGAGGGGTGTACCGAAATGGCCCGAGGCCGCCATGCGGACCCTGCCACTGGGGCCTGCGGTGGAGCTCCATATGGGGCCACGATCCTCGTGAGGGGTGTGCCGACATTGGCCCGAGACCGCCATGGGAACCCTGCCACTGGGGCCTGCGTTGGAGCTCCCTATGGGGCCACGATCCTCGTGAGCGGTGTGCCGAAGTGGCCCGAGGCCGCCATGCGAACCCTGCCACTAGGGCCTGCGGTGGAGCTCCCTATGGGGCCACGATCCTCTTGAGGGGTGTGCCGAAATGGCCCGAGGCCGCCATGCGAACCCTGCCACTGGCGCCTTCGGTGGGGCTCCCTATGGGGCCACGATCCTCGTGAGGGGTGTGCCGACATTGGCCCGAGACCGCCATGGGGACCCTGCCACTGGGGCCTGCGTTGGAGCTCCCTATGGGGCCACGATCCTCGTGAGCGGTGTGCCGACATGACCCGAAGCCGCCATGCGAACCTTGCTATTGGCGCCTTCGGTGGGGCTCCCTATGGGGCCACGATCCTCGTGAGGGGTGTGCCGACATGGCCCGAGACCGCCATGGGGACCCTGCCACTGGGGCCTGCGTTGGAGCTCCCTATGGGGCCACGATCCTCGTGAGCGGTGTGCCGACATGACCCGAAGCCGCCATGCGAACCTTGCTATTGGCGCCTTCGGTGGGGCTCCCTATGGGGCCACGATCCTCGTGAGGGGTGTGCCGACATGGCCCGAGGCCGCCATGCGAACCCTGCCACGTGGGCCTTCGGTGGAGCTCCATATGGGACCACGAAACGCTGTGCTGGGTGGGTGAAACGCAAGGGGGAAGGAGAAGGGGGAGGAGGGAGGAGGGGGGGAAGGAGAGAGGGAGGGATAATGGAGGAGGGAGGAACGCGGGGCGCTGTTTCCTCACACCGAAGACCCGACACCACAAGACGGTTGGGAACACATCAGGAACAGACCATTCACAAAAATACTGTCGATTGACCTTCGTGCCCTCCAATGGCGGGGGGGCGGGGCAGGCAGACGGAGGGCGGACAATCTCGGGTTGTCTGGAAGCCGTTGGGGGGGCACGGCGGGCTGACAATGCAGGGCGGGTGGGTGGGTGGGGTGGGGACAATTCCGAACCGGGCAGGGCAAAGCAGCCTGACCGACGGGGTTGCCTGCGGCCAGCCCTGCGTGGAAATCAAAAACTCTGATCCAACATTCAGGGCGGGGAGGAACAATTCCGAGACGGACAGGCCAACGCAGCCTGACCGACAGAATGCGGATAATATCTGGCCGTCTGGGAAGGACCCCGTGGGCCATAGAAACTCCGAGGGTTTTGACACCCCCTTCTCCTCCTCCACCTCCTCCTTCTGGAATCATCTTCCGTTTCTTTCTGCGTCCAGCAGCTGCGAGAATGCAACGGCGACGCGGCGCTACCCTGGAATCGAGCGTTCGGAAACGCACGCGGGGAGGGGGGGGGAACGACTAGAAACAAAGTTGTCATCGCCGCAATTCCTGCGACAATGCGCGCGCTGCGTCTGCTGCCTTCCGCCTCTTCGACAGCGCCCCCCACGGCCCCATCCCCCTCCTCTCTCCGCAATCCCCCGCCGCCGCGGGCGATCGAGCGAGGGCAGGGGGGGCGAAAGGACACTCAGTTCCCGCGCGACGGCAGAAATGCACGGCGGCCGAATTCTATTAGTCTGCCCCACTTGTTCATTTTGGGCGCCCCCGGGGGGGGCGGTGTTCTTTTTGTGCGTTGGTTTGTTGTTCTTTATTCCCCCTTTTCAAAAATCGCCCGCCCCCGTTGCGGACTGAACTGGCGACGGAACGCGCCGATTCTGAATGGAAAAAGGGCGCGCCGCTGACTCACGCGCCTTAATCCATGTCTGCGCTTCCTCAAGCCTTCCATGGGCCTTCTTGAGATTCGCGCGGCAGCGCAGCTGAATGTCGTCGCCGCCGCCTCCGCTGCGTTCCTCCACCTTCGTTGCTTTCTCTGCCTGCATTCTCCAGGGCCAAAAGTGGATTTGTAGGGACCTGTCACATTTCGTCCGCTCGCCTGCCCCCTGGTTTTCCCCAGCGTTGGCTAGCAACCATAGCTGGGGAATCGTCGAGAACCCTGCGCGCGCGCACTCCGCGTGCCATGGGGCGAGACCTCGGCGGAATCGAGCTTCGCATGCGTCCGCCCTCTAACTCGCTCTTGACGCCGCGGGCAAGGCAAACTGCGATCATGCAGAGACGCTCGATGCGACTCCGCCGACCCTCCTGGCAGGGCGAGACCGCTGCGCGCGCGGGCATCGGAGGGCGCGAGGCCAAGCTTCCCAGAGGTCAGCCAGTCGAGCGCGACCACAGCGCGCTGCGCCAGCGAGCGCTCGGCGTACCTCAGCCGCCGCAGCGCCCGAGCCGCCAGGGCTAGGCGGGCCCGAGGGCCCCGGCGGAGCCTGAGGGGGGCCCGTGGCGGAGCGAAGGCCGCGACCGCGGAACGCACCTCCCTGCGGGGCCGCGACAGCATCGCTGGGATAGCACATTCCTACGGTCGCGACCTCGCCCAGACCAGGCACGCTTAGCAGCCGCGACGTCGTCGAGCTGATCGAGTCGTCGCGACCTCCGACCTCGGCAACCGCGCGCAGAGTGCGCGCGCCCCCCCCCTCGGGACCCACTGGCCTTCATGGAGGTGGCGTGCGGAGAAGCCTTGCGCCCCTTCGGTTTCGCCGCGGGCGAAGTCCCCGGCCGCGCGGACGCCGACGGGGCCCGTGCATTGCGCGCGCCCCGCCGCCCCCTCGGCATCCAGGCGCGATCGAAGGAAATCGGCCTCCTTCGCGTGATCGTCCTGCGCCGAGAGCCAGCGAGGGCCCGCCGCCGGAGAAACTCAACTGACCCCCCCATTCCGCGCGCGGGCGCGTCGCCTGCGCGGGCGGCGCCTCAGCCCCCGCGAGGGGCCGCGCGCCGTCGAGGTAGCCGCGGCCCCCCACCAGTCGTTGATGAACGCGCACTGGCAACTTACTCGGGTCTCCCCCACCCTGTCCGCGCCGCCGCTCTCGGGCGCAGCTCCGCGCTGAGCCGCGCGAGATGCGCGGGAATATCGCGCATCGCTACGCAAGCCCCCAGCGGGCTGCGTTCGCGAACGACAATATATGAAATTGCCGTTGGGGTGATCGCGGAAAGCTCCACCCCGAGAGTCCGTGCGAGGATCGCCCTCAGAAATGACCGCGTCTCTGATCCGTGCTGCGACGGGACTTGCTGCAATTCCCTGCGACGCGCGACGCCGCGCGTCGAGGAGCCGGCGGCCCCTCCCGTGGCCCCCGCAAGGGCGGTCGTACGTAGAGGGTCGCTGAGCGCCGCCAGCAGGGAATGCGTCGCCGCCCTCCGCTGGACGTGGCCCCCGCAGGGACGGCAACGCCAACTTCAAAATGGGCCCGGGAGCGCTGCCCACGCGGGGCTCGTCTCCCGCGGCGCGCCCCTCGGCGAAGCCGCCGACCCCGCCGGGCCAGGCGAGCTCTGGGGGCGCGGGGGGCGGCGGCGGGCTCAAGGGTGGCAGGAGCGGAGGGCGTGCGCCCCCAAGCTCGTTCTTCCCCCGAGCTGCGACCAGAGCAGACGGCGGCGCGGCGGCGCGGCTGCGGGCCCGCTGCGCGGGAGGGGGGGGGGGCGATTGGGCGAGCGTCGCCTGAAGGTCCTCCCGAGGGGTGCCCGCGCGCGCCTCCTCGTCGGCGAAAACCTGAGGCGCGTCGAGGCGGGCCTCCTGAAGGCTGTCGCGGGCCCCCCGGGGAGGAGCCGCTGGCTGGGCCGCGCGCGCAGCCATCAGACGCTGGATCCCCAAGTGGACCTCCGCGCGAGTCATCGGCGCTCCCCCGTCGAAAGCTGCCGCGACGGCCCACCCCGCCCGCGGGCGGGCCGTGCCCGCCCCAGGGCATTGGCTGCGCGCCTAGACGGCTTAAGGCGCCGCCGCGGGAGGCGCCTCCGGCAGCGGCGGGGCCCTCGCTGGAAGAGGAGGGAGGTTCTCGGCCTCGGCGTCGTCCTCTGGGCCGCCCGCCCCAAAAACGTCCGCGGACTGATGCTGGGCGGCCCTCTCTGCGCCCGGGGCGGCCTCGCCCCCCTCGGCGGGCGCCGCGCCGCGAAAGGCCGCGCGGCCCTCGCGGAGGGCGGAGGCCCCCGAAGGGCGTGGCCAATTCGCGATGCCACGCCGAGCAAAGGCAACCTGACCACCTGGAAGGGGTCAACCTGCAAATCCTTCCACATCCGCCGGAATGAGACTCTCGGCCGAAGGGAAGGGCCCAGGCAACGCCGGCCAGATGCCCCCCAGGCCGAGCGGCCAAAGGGATAGCGTCGCAGCTCACCTCGAGTTCGTCCAACCGCCAGCGGTCATAGGGAGTGGCCGACGGCGGAGTGAACGGGTGTAGGTCGGGCCAGACAGGCTCATCGGGGATAGCGAGTTCCCCCGCTGCAGAAGCAGCGGCTGCCACTGTTGGCGGCGCGCACGTGGCCCGCGGGCCGCCCGCAAGGCCGCAGGGGGTGGGTCAAGCGGGCGGGCTTCGCGAAAAGGCCTGCGCGCGCTCCTTGGCCCGCGCTTTTGGGCAGCATGCCAGGGCGCGCTGCGCGCCGCGACCGTTCCTGTCAGGGGCTCCAGAGGGCCGTCAGCCCCCACCCACTCCTTCGATGGCTGCCTGAGCAAACGCCTGCATAACACCGCCCGCCGAGGGGGAACCGCGCGGGGTTTGGGCCGAGATACTACAGAGCAACGAGACGCGACCGGGGACGGGACAATAAGAGAGAGCATGATGATACTGACGACGCCGATGCTGATTATGATGATGATGATGATGATGATGATGATGATGATGATGATGGTGATGATGGTGATGGTGATGGTGATGATGCTGATGATGATGATGCTGATGATGATGATGCAACTGATGATGCTTATGACGATGGTGCTGGTGATGATAGTGATGACGATGATGATGATGCTGATGATGAGGTTGATGCTGCCGATGATGATTATGGTGATGTTGATGCTGATGATGCTGATGGTGGTGATGTTGAGTATGGTGATGATGATGGTGATGACGACCATGGCGATGTTGATGATGGTGATGCTGATGCTGATGATGCCGATGATGCTGATGATGATGCTGTTGCCGATGGTGATGATGATGGTGATGGTGATAATGATGATGATGCTGCTGATGATGATGGTGATACTTATGGTGATGATGTTGGCGGTTGATGACCTGGAGACACCAAGTGTCACATGTGACGGCATCCCGTGCCTAGAACAGCGGCCACCTGCAATGCTGGCACAACAACAAGAACGTAGAAACCGATCCAATCAATCTGCGCAACCTTGACATTTGACGAAGCACATCCTTCGTCCGCCCCGACATTTGTAGGCGCCCCGGGGAATTCAAAAACAAGCACCCTCGTCGAAAACCACTGACGCTCGAAGATCCCCGTCCGCTCTGGCGCGCGTCCTCGCCGTCGGTTTCCATCACCTCCCTCGCGTCGCCGTCGCCGTGGCCATCACCGTCGTCGCCGCCGTCGCTCTCGTACCCGTCGCCGCCGCCGTCGCTGCCGCGTCGCCGTCGCTCCGCCACTCGGGCACACACCAGCATGGATTGCGGATTTGTGGACCTGGCGCGCTGGTGCCAGATCCACAGATCGTGGTAAAACACCCCCCGAAACATGAAGCCAGTGACGCCTGATCTGGCGAGGGAGCGCGGCGATTTCGCATTCTGGCGAACGAGCGCGGCGACTTCGTACGTGAGCGAGACATTTCGCTAAGCCCTTGGGCCCTTCTCAGGAACCCAAGTGCCGCGGCGCAGAGCCCAACCTTGAGAAGTCGCAGATCTCTGGGAACCACGTCGAGGACGAGCTGCGCTTCAGCGGAATGGCCCGACAACAATCCGCTCGCCTCACTCCATGCCTGCGTTTACGCGGGCACAGTTATCGTGCTACCGCAAGGAACGCTGAATAAGGAATGAAGGGGCGTTTCTGGCAACGGCGGGCCTAGGCCACAAACGGGTTCCACGACACAGATCGAAGGAGCGGCCCGAACACCCGAGCCCCTCCTGAGTCCAAAGCGGTCCTTATTTCAGCGTCTTGGCTGTAATCACCGCCGCCGCCGCGGGGCCGCCGGCCCTGGGCGAGATGCCCTCGCAGCCGCGCCTAGGGGCTGCCAGGAGGAAGCGGGCGCGGCCCGCAGCCGCCACGGCGCCGCGCGCGGCGAGGGGCCCTGCGGGAGCGCGCGCGTGCCGCGGGAGCACGAAGACGAAACCAGGACGAGGACAAATACGGATAAGGGTAAATCCAGAATATTTGAAATCCGGCGGCTCTGGAATGTCTCGGGCACCGCGGCCTTCTGAGAGCGTCCCGGAACGCTCTGAGAGCGTTCCCGAACGCTCTGGAACGGATTTATCATCGTCCTAGCTCCGCCCGAAGAATCCAGCCACGGCGGCGAGAAGTCTCGCGGAGGCCCCCCAGCAAGGCGAAAGAGATCCAAACAGCTCGATCATCGAACCGCAGACCTCGACCATTAACCAAGACTTCCGAAAGAGACCCAGCCGCGGCGACGATCCGGGCTGACGAAAGGGGCGGATAGCAAAAGGAGGGCTGGCGAATCAGCTCACGTAGCTGGGTTCCCAGCGCTTTGCAGCACCAGATGCGCCAGGGGCCAAAACCAGTTGCAAACAGCAGATTTCGTAACCCCCCGTTTTCTCAAATTCCCCCTTTCGTCCGACCAAGCACGAGAAGCCTAGCAGACCCACCCCAGCTCCCAAAAAAGGAAGGCACCGTCATCAACCTCGATCTTTTATCCTCAAGCCGCAGACCTCGATCCTCGAAAGCTGCCGCCGCCGTCGTTCTTCTACTCGTCGTCGTCGACATCGTCGTCGCCGTTTAGGTTGTCGTCGTTTCCGTCGTCGTCGTCGCCACTCCGCCGTCCTTCTCGACGGCGTCGACTTTGCCGTCGCCGTCGAGCCCGCCGCCGTCCCCCGTCGCCCGTCGTCGCCGTGGCCGCCGTCGCCACTGCCGTCGCCACTCCCGTCGTCAGTGCCGCCAGCGTCGTCTACGTCGTTGTTATCGCCGCCGTCATCGCCGCGTGCGTCGCCGCCGCCAGCGGCGACGTCGCCTTCGTGGTCGTCTTCGTCGTCCCCATCGTCGGTTTCGTCCCGCGGCACCGCCGTCCTGGCGCCCCGCGAGCGGCGCGGCCCGGGCGCAGTCGCAGCTGATACCTGGCCCCGCCGCGGCCGTGGCGCCCAGGCTGCCGCCAAGGCGCGCCGCCGCCATTCGCCTCCTGCGGGGTCTCCCTCCTCCGCATCTCGCCAGTCCCGCTTCAAGTTAACTTCCCCCCCCCCCTCGTGGTCCTCTTCCTCCCCCTCCACCCACGCCCTACTCCTCCTCGCACTCCTCCTTCGCCTCGCGCTCCTCCTTCTTCTCCTGGTGGGTGGTCCCTCCTTCACTTCCTCCCCCCCTCGCGCTACGCGGGCCATTGCGGCCACCGCGGCCGAATCAATCAATATTTCCCGGCCATCGGCGGTAAAACCGAAGCACTTGAAAGATTTCAACAGGGAGCCCGATGCCCGGCCAATAGCTCCCTGGAACAGGGAGACCTGAGCGTGGACGCCTTCTCTTCCAACACATGCTGCAGAGGTGGTTCCAGCTGCAGATGGAAAGCATCGAAACATCGCCGAATGAACGAAGTCGCGGCAGGTTAGAATTGTCCTCACAGACCCGAAGCGCACACCTCCCCAGACGCGTGCCCCCGCAGCGAGCTTGCCGATTGGGGGATCCTCAAAAACAACTGGAAGCAACCAGGGCCAATGGCATATACTGATACTTGGCACGCTCGGCCACGGTCATGGAGCCCCAGATCGGCGCGGCTCGCGCCAATCCCTCGCAAGTGTTCCAAGGCTCTCCCCTGAAAGGGGCACGAACAAACGTTGGACATCTGCGAAGAGGATCTCAATCTGGGGCGACGCGCTCCAAATATGTCGGTCAACCAGGAAGGTGTCGTCCGCGCTCGCGCGCAACATGTTATCCAGAACCTCGCGCATTCCTCAGCGCAGCAAGATGTGTGCAGCTAAAGCGAATCGAAGCGGGGACAACTGGCAACCATGGCGAACTCCACGAGTGATCCCGAACCCCTGCTGCCGATTCCCGCCCATGCCAAGCTCGAAGGTGCTGGAAGTGCACACGACCCTGATGAATCGTAGCAGCCAGTCGGGCAAGGAGAAAGGTCGGAAAACCTGCAGCATTAACTCGGGTTCGATCGCCGGGCAAGCCGCTAATGTAGCAACGCTGGCAGCGGCGACCAGCCCGAAGCGCAAGGGCGAATGAACAATGTTGCAAGATGCACGGCCGGGCATGAAGGCACGATTAATCATATTCGAATCGTGAAATCGGATTGTGTCGTCAAGTGCGTCGGATCGGGCTGCATCGGCACGTGATCCGAATCGAATCGCATCGGCCGTGCCAGGACGCTCAACAGCGCCAGGAAAGCATCGGGCCGCATCGGATCGCGGGAATACCGGAACCGAACGGGATCGGGCCGGCCAAAATCGGATTGATCGGATCGACATTTACCCTGCCATTAATTTTCAAATTCGGGTTTCTTGCGGCCGTTCGGGGCGATTCGGGTACATGTGAAACGCCGCCGGCGAGACGTAGCTACCGGAACGCATCCCGAGGTGGGAAATCCCCCTCGGAATCGACGAAAACATTCAAAACACCGATTATGCCCAGACCCTTGGGGACCACGTATCGGCGCTGGGCTGAGCGGGTAGGAGCCATGGAGCGCGGCGGTCTTGCATGGCATGTGCCTGGGTGCGATATCCTGCAGATGTGAACGGACGCTCACGGCGGCCGTCGCGCGCACAAGCGCACGCCACTCAGGGCTGCTCGAGCGAAGAAGCTGCTGGGCCCAGTGCAGAGCGGGGGACAACTTTTCGAACAGCAAAACGGGAGGACGGGCACCTCTGTCAGGATCAGCCAGCGTCGAATCGCAAAACCCGATCGGATCGGTGCGGTGATATCGAAATCCCAAGGGACCGCATCGAATCCCACCAGCCCTTTGGGCGTGAGTGGTTTAGAGAGCCCGCTCTGTTCTCAACCCTCCTTCCCCTTCGGGGAGGGGTTTACCCCTCCCCCTACCCCCTCCCCCTGGGCCTGGAGAGGTCCTTTCGCGGGTGGTCAGGGGGGTCCTTTTCGACTCCTGGGAGGGCTAAAAAACGGCACCCCTCACGAGGATTCTGGCCCCGACAGGGGGAGACCAGAAAAAATGCTCTCCTATTCTTTGAAGCCAAAATCATTGATTTTACTACGGTGTTGGCCCCATGAGGGGGCAGCGCTCATTACAGCTCCCCTCTTCCTTCAAGGCAAAATGATTGATTTTACGAAGGGTTTGGGTTCATTTTGCCCTTCTGAGGGGGCAGCGCTCATTGAAGCTCCCCTCTTCTTTGATCCATCCCCTCCAAGATGGCCCCAAGAAGCGCCCAGGAGGCACCAAGAGGCCCCAAGATGGCCCCAAGAGGCCCCCAGGAGGCCCCCCAGAGGCCTCCAAGAGGCCCCCAAGATGCCCTCAAGAGGCCCCCAAGAGGCCCCAAGAGGCTCCCCCGAGGCACCCAAGACGCTCCTGGAAGCCCCTGGGGCCGCCAAGAGGCCCCCAAGACGCCCCAAACGGCCTCCAAGAGGCTCCCAAGAGGCCCGAAGAGGCTCCCCCAAGGCACCCAAGACGCTCCTAGAAGCCCCTGGGGCCGCCAAGAGGCCCCCGAGACGCCCCAAAAGGGGACGAGGTGCCCGAACGCCTCACGCCACGAGGAACCCGAACGACTCACACCAGGACGAGGGGCCCGAACGACTCACACCACGAAAAGCCCGAACGACTCACACCAGAAGGAGGGGCCCGAACGACTCACACCAGGACGAGGCGCCCGAACGACTCACACCACGAGGAGCCCGAACGACTCACACCACGACGAGGGCCCCGAACGACTCACACCACGAGGAGCCCGAACGAGTCACACCAGGAGGAGGGGCCCGAACGACTCACACCAGGACGAGGGGCCCGAACAACTCACACCACGAGAAGCCCGAACGACTCACACCAGGACGAAGAGCCCGAACGACTCACACCACGAAGAGCCCGAACGACTCACACCAGGAAGAAGGGCCCGAACGACTCACACCAGGACGAGAAACCCCAAACGACTCAAACCACGAGGAACGTTTTCTCTTCCTCCTCCTCCGCCTCGTCCTTTTCCCGCTCCCACCACAAGGAGGATGTACAAGGAGGCGGGAGGAAGGAGGAACAAGGGAGATATGCGGGGGCAGGCGGAAACACGCCTGAAAAAAACACGACTGCCGGCATGCTTCGCAAGAGTTGCTGTTTTGAAATGGGCTGGTGGGGATACGCGAAGCGTAAAGAATTTGGTCCGTCATCGCACGGTTTTGGGAGCCTGGAAGCCCCAATCGCCCGAGGCACCCTCGGAGAAAAAAACGAGTCACGAAACCGTGCGGTCACCCCGAATCCCCACCAACTCACCACACCGCGTAGTCACCGCGCCGTTTGTGAAAACATGAAAAACGCCCCCCCCCCGCCCACACATGAGGAACTTTAGACCAATGGGGCCGTCACGCGACGTGCGAACTGAAAGCGGAAACTGCTCGACGGTCAGCCAACGACAACGCCGCGACATTCAATGCGATCGGCGCGCTGCTGCCATGCTCATTGGCGTTTGAACTTGGCGTTTCCTTGTGGCGGCCCATGCCCAAAATCATGGTGGACGTTCGCGCGCTCATGCCAGGGCAAAGACCAATGGGGGCGTCGGCACTTGGCGGCGCTGGCAAGAAACCCGCGCGGCGCCCGGGGCCCGCCCCGCACGGGCGCGCACTGGCGAACACAGAGATTAAGATCCACCCCGAAATAAAGTGAAGGCACTGGGCGAAAACAAATATTCCACACATCCCATATACAATCCATTTAAACTTTCCCGAAGCAAAACGTATTGCGCGGGAGGGCCCCGAAACGTTTAGATAAACAGAGAAACGCGCTTATATAAACACCAAAGAATTTTATATTGGACCAGTTGCCTCAAGAGAAACACCCCCGATCTAAACGTTTCCGCCAGCAGGGTCAGGAGGGGGCGACGGAGGCGGGAGCGGGAACCCTCGGCTGGGCCAGCGGCGCTGCCGCCCGAGGGACACCGCCGCCGTTGCCTCGAACTGCGAGCCGCGGCCGTGGCACGCGCCGCCGTGGGAATGCCGGCGCGGGCGCGGCCGCGTCGAGCGGGCCCAGGACGTCGCCGGGCGCGCGGGGCCCCCCTGCGGCAGCTGGCAATGGTCTCGCCGACGAGGCGCCTACACTTACGCCCATTCGCCGTAAATGCAAAACGCTGACATGTAAAATCCATATTCGTGAGGCTGGGGTCGGTTTCCCACTGTTCACTTTGGGCGCCCCCGCATCGCGGTTATCTTCGCGCCCTCGCGCAGCCCCCAGGAGAACAGCATCTCTCCGGCCCACACCACGAAGAGCCACCAGCTCCCCCCCTGCATCGTCTGGCCTGGCTGGGCCATCGTTGCTGGCGCCGGGGTGTTCAGAAGGCAAAGAGGGGCAATGAAGACGGGGTTAGCGAATCATCTGGTCGACCGGAAATTTCGACGGGAAAATGGGTACGATGCCCAACAACAAATACTTTCCAAAACCGACAGCGGCTGCTGTTAGGCAGGCGGCCTTCTGTATCAAATGGACAGCGCCCGCGGCTGTACCGACAGCGAACCCTGTTCAAAATTGGCAGGCACTGCTTTCAATCTTCACTCCCATTATTACAATACCCATGTCGATCGTCCCGAATCATCAACTACATACAGCTGGCTTCCTTGGCGCCTCCTGGCGCTGGAAGCGCCCATGTGTCAACGAATGCTCCCGGCGGCCCCCAGCGTGGCTGAAATCATCAGCATATAGCAAATGTCGTACACCCCTTTCCCCCAACCCCCCTTTCGTCCGACTAGATTATGGATGATTGCGACGGGATTCGGAATTGGCTCCTTGCCGGGACATCCGACGATGTGATGTGTTCATTCCGCAGCTCCCAGGAACTGTGGACCCCTTGCATTTTGGCAGTTTTTCGCCCCCGATCCACCTTTAATTACTCGGGGGCTCAAAGGAGCCAAGAGAAACGCCGAATTTGAACTGATCGATTGCCGGATATCTCAGTATCACGGGGCTTCTTCTTAACACACCTGTCGAAACCAAGCCATTCTTCGTAACTCTGGATTGGTGCTAGGAAAGG